AAAATAAAAAATTAAAAAAAAAAAAACCCAAAAACAAAACAAAACAAAACACTTTATTTGTAGAGGTCAGTTAACCGGCAACTTCTCATCCTCCTCTTAGAATGTTTGAGGGAAAATTTCACCAACAATTTGCTTAAATATGAAGACAATAGAAACTGGCTGTTCCACTCCTAATGAGGACAGAAAGGGAAGCATTTCCCTGGTGCAGGGGAGCTGCCTGTGAACATGTTGCCATGCACTCAATGTCCTGGTTTGTCCTTCTCACACAGGCAAAAGAATTGTGCCAGGTGGAAGGACATTAGAGGAGGGGACAGCGCCCAAGTGCCAAGGTAGTACAGTGTACAACCATTTTAGTGTTTCTTGGAGAGCAGACTTTACTGGATGGAGCATCAAAGTATAAGCTGAGTTTTTATTAGAGTGCCAAAAAGGTAGAAGTAAAAAGATAGATTTTTTAGAAATTTACAAGTCAAAGGGATAGACAATATGGAGGACAGGTACAAATGAGCCCTTTTTGATGGCTACTTTCCAAGGACATAAAATCTAGAACTATCTTCCACGTGCTTGTTGGAAAGGCAGAAATCCCACCAGGAAAACATTCCCCTCATCACATTTTCATTCTCACCTCTCTAAACTTGGACAGCATTCTCGTAGCACAACAATTACGATGTCACTTCATGACATGCTGAGCCTGTAACCCTCAGCCCTGCTACCATTCATTCTTGCCTTATCTGCTCCTATCCCAAGCCAGGACTCGCCGTCTACAGCCCAGTGTCCAATCAGCAATTATGCACAGAACTGAACTGCGTGTGCCAGGAGCTATGGGAGCCCCTATCTACACAGCCCATGGATGCTCCCTTGGTTCGTCTGTGAGGAACATGTCCTACTATGAAATACTCACAAAACGGATGGTGTTTTCAGAATTCGTATTCCACCAGGCTGATTGGGAAATATATCTTCCAAGAAAAAATATATGTGCCCAACTGCAATACCTACAATCAAAAAGAAATGTCAAGAGAAGATTAAAACTTGAATTACCTTCAATTTCTTATAGTTTGGAATCATCATAATAATGACCAAA